TCCCCTCCTCCTCCTCCTCCTGCTCCTCCTCCTCCTCCTCCTCCTCCTCCTCCTCTTCCTGCTCCTGCACTTCGTGATGCTGTTGTCTCCTGCAGCTTCCTCGACCACCTTCTCTGCCTCTGCATCATACTGTTCTCTCCTATGCCTTCCTCCTCCTTCTCCTCCACATCATCATCATGTAGTCTCCTGCTGCCTCCTCCTCCTCCTCTTTCTCTTCCAACGCCTTCTCCTCCTTCTAAAGCTGTAGTCTCCTGTTGCCTCCTCCTCCTCCTCTTCCCTTAACTCCTATTCCTTCCCAGCGGGGGCAGGCGCGGCGGGAACCGGTGGGCCCTCACAGAGCCGCCGGGGCAGCTCCTTCCCTCGCTGTCGAGGGCCTCCTGCCTTTCTTGAAACCCTCAAAAAAAAAAGCCAATACTACGCGACTTACCGAAAAAGCTCCTTTTAAACGGCAGAGCCTTAGGCCTTCGTTTATCAAAACGCGTGCATCTAGTTTATGGAGCAAAGCACGTGCATATTCACGCGGCAGGTGGCAGGGAAAGGTTTGCCACGCGCCAGCCGCGAAGCTGAGCCCTCTCCCGCGAGCCAAAGGCAGTCCGGCACCCAGCTGCTCTGCGTCCTACGGGGGCTCAGCTGCTCTGCGTCGGCTAGGGGGGCGGCAGCCGCCGGCTTCCCCTCGGGGTCAAGCCCCCGGGGTGGTGAGTAACGTCCTCACCCGAAACGTGTTTTTCCGGAGCTGAACCGAGGTCACGCGGAGGTAACTACCAGTGGTAAGCGATGCTCCGCGCAAGCCAACGGGCGACGCTCAGCCCGGCCTGTCTCTCGTCTTCTGCGAGAACTACAGTGGTAGAGGGTACACGGGCCGCCCTGTTTTAACTGGATTCTTTGTTTAAACAGGCCTTTACTGGGCAGGAATAATTTGGGAAAAATCATGACAAAAATGCTTGCTTTAAATAGAATAATTAGGTTTTACTTTGTACATACGCAGCAAGCAAACTTAGAGAAACAGCACATATTTCAGCCACGAATAAAACACCTAGGTTCCGTTTTAATGCGGACTTTTACTTCAATGCATTTTGAAGCACGTATATGTCCATATCATTATGTCTAAGAATTAGTCCTTAAACAAGGAATTTCCCCAGGAAAACACTGCAATTCATGTCTTTGCAGGACAAATAGCGAGAATGCCAGTTTTCCAGCCAACAAACCTATTCTCTATATTTAAATACCTCTTGCTGACTGCAGAAGGAAAAGATGAGAGCACCGTCGATTCACGTTAGCCAAGAAAAGCTCACAGCCAACATGCCGGGCTCGCTCTTTGTTTATTAAATTTGATTGTAACCGTCCAAAAGGCAACGGGGCTCCATTCACGTCGGTAGGAAATTTAACTGAGAATAAATTGCACGAACAGAAGGTGTTATTTGGCTAACCAGTTGCATTTGTTACTGCTGTCCAAGACGGGAAAGGACCCAGGTTAGGTGTCGGCCAAACCGAGCACACGCAGGCCACACAGGCCCTATTCCTCGATCCCAGCACGCATCAAGGGAACCTCTTCCTCTGCGCACTGCAAAAGGCTCTTCCCGAGCTTGCGCTATTTGTGAAACTTGCTGTTAGGGTATGGAAGGCGACCGTAAAGCACGTGGTTCCGCACCTCCTTCTTTTTCCTTTTCAGACGGATATGTTTCTCTGGCGTATGACTACATTAAGCAAACAAATTCCCTCCTTTTTCTCTTCTCCTCTTCCTTCTCTACAGCGCCAGTCAGTCTGTTGAACTGAGAAGAGACGAGGGGCTGCTGGGGGCTGCAATACAGGCAGCGCTCCGGCAGTTCAGCTGACGTGAAATTCAAACCAACCTTAAGAAACGGCAGCCAAAAAGCCATCTACATCCTTCAGTTCACCCGATTCCCTTCGGAGTCGGCTACTTGGGTGCGGAGGTAGCATCACTTACCTGCCACAAGCAGTCGTGATCAGGATTAGTGTTGCCGCAGCACTTCAAGAAGCAGGAAGATTCGGTTCTCCATTCCTCATTTTCCCCCGTATCCTGCTTTACCGGTATAACTTGCTTCTTTTTAGTATTTCAGCAAAAACAGGATGTGATGCTGATCCATTGATAAACCGTGACGCACCGTCCATTTACACACACGCGGGTATAATGAGGCTCCTTCAAAGCAATCCAACGCCGCTTCACTTTTCATCCATTTTTCCCCTTTATAGGGCACCCAGATGCAAGGTGGGATCGTTCCGCAAAGAAAGTATTAAAACAGTGACAAAACACGACGAGCCTTTCCCAGGCTTGGGAATTCCTATTTGTCACTGCGGCTGTTAGTATAAATGTTGCCATACTTTTAAACAACCCTAAAATACATCGCTGTTTTAAGGTGGCTGGTTTTCCTCTTCCCAACAGACAGATGCAACGCTTTGATTTATTCCAAGCAGCTATTTAGTTCCCCAGTTCCTAGAGTTAAGCGGAGCCTCTGGGGGGGTTTGTCCTTCTTTCTAGGGTACAGATACTAAGACTTGAACTCCTTGATGCAAGTTTCACTTAAAATTCAAACTTAAAGTTAAGCTGAATTCAACTCCAAAAGCTACTATTTCACCAGTTCCTCAGAGGAGTCGCCCACCCTCCTGTGCTCCGGCATGCCTTCTGTGCCCCCTTGGCACGGCGTTCCTGCTCGTGGGCTGCTGCAGCCCAGCCCTTCCCTTCCCTGCCGTGGATCGCTTCTTCCTCAGACCCTTTGGGACCGCCAGCCAGAACCTGGCTTCAGGTGATCCCTCGGGAGACTGCAGCAATCCGTCCGTCCTTCCTTCCTCCCTGCCGCCCTGATTTCTCAGCACTTCCAGCTAGTCTGATACGACCTCGAGTTCAGTCAGGCTCCTAAGGTCCGAGGGGTGAAGCCCCTTACCCAACAGCCGTGATGCCTATTTGAATTCCAGTCAACACAAGCACGCTTTGGTACAAACCTTTATTATCTCACGCCTCCTCGCCGCAGCAATCACTGAAACAACTGACATTCGTATTTCACAGGTACCGTAAGAAGTTACAAAGTGTAAAATACGCTTTGTAGTTCACACAGCAAAAATTCTTGAGGATTGGCTTTCTGTACACGAAATTTGGCAGAGACACGTTCACCCACAAGGGAACAGGCAGGCATTGTCGCCTCGAGCACACTGGGGAGGCGGTGTTTGCATGGTACAGAGGCAGAGTATCTATCCTGTTGACAGATGACTAGCTTCCCTGAGATTACCCGTGTCATCAAAAGGCACGAAGAGAAACACACCCCAAAGCAGGCCCCAGGAGGTGGGGGCGTCCCAGCAGAAACCCGAGCCGCCGCGGGTGGGCCCCAGGGGGGGGGGGGGGGGTGTCACCGTTCCTACTAGCCGCTCGCTCTTGCTTTGTCAAGCGTGAACTGCAACCGAGGTCTGCGTTGATACTTACTCTAACAAACACGGGAAGCCTCCTCCTTGGCCGCAGCAATGGTAGGATCGGTGCCCGCACCAGCCGCGACGGGTCTACGGCTTCCAGGGCTCTGGCCTTTAAGCTCAGTATTGCAGGGCTGGTTTACAAATCCACATACTGACACAGAGGTAAATATTTTAGGTGACACCATGCCTATCAGGTTTAGAGACCGATATTCCATTTTAAAATAGTCCTGCAGGGCTGGTTTACAAATCCACATACTGACACAGAGGTAAATATTTTACATGACGCCATGCCTGTCAGGTTTAGAGACCGATAATTCCATTTTTAAATAGTCCTAGATACGCTAGACAATTTGTTAATAAAAGGTAGTTTGGGAGGACCATCGTAAGCAATATGCAGCAGTTATTGAGCAACATATACATATTGAAGTAGCTTGGAGATTTTGTTTTCTTTTTTTCTCCGTCTTCCTGGCTTACAAAGCGATGAAAATTGCAGTAGTCAGAGCGACACAATCCCTGCTTGTTCCAACTGTGCCAGTTATGGATGGTATTCAGAGCCCACAGACAATTTTCTCACGGAATTCAGAGGTAAGCCCGTTTGTAGGGTACCCTCTGGACCAGATACTGCCCCAAAAATCAGTAGCCGCATTTTCCCTAGAAGTTTTGGCTAATTTGATCAACAACAATCCGTTGTTACTTCCCATCCTCAACCCAACACTAATGCTTTTAAATTTACATCCTGAGCTTCTATATCATTAAGGTAATGGGGAAAGAGCAGACTGAGAATGAGAGGAAATATCTCATTAGAGCAGATGACCCAGGAGAGAGCAGTCTGACACAGACTCCAAATTCTTCTTTCATGAACAATCGGCACTACTCATCAGGGCAGGCAGCAAAAAAACCAAATCCAAAGGCCATTTCACACAGCTGGCTGGGCAAAAATGACTCCTCAGGGCTCATCACTTACTACAGTCCTCGGGACCCTGGAGACCTCTTCCCAGGTATCAAGCCTACCGTGCTTGACCTCCCTAGACACGTGCCTTTCCAAGAGCTGAAACGATCCCGACCTTAAGCTCGTGTTAAATGTGGACAGTCACAGCGCTTCCTCTTCCCAAGCCCTGCTCCTAAAACCCATTTCTGCTGAACGATAAGCCACCGCTCAATATTTTGTATGCATACATAGTCCTTCAGAGATCTTAACCCAGGGAAAGATGGACAGAGAGCGAGGAAGTAAGATGTCTACACCACAGTGCAGCAAAAGCATGGGAAGGGAGGGCAAGCACACGCGGCGCCAAGAAAGCTCGAGTAGAGTAGAGGTGAATTGTGGGCACATCGACAGCAGTCTGTCAGGGAAGAGGGGGCTACTTCTTCAGGCATCACGAATTCCAACCCTGGCTCTCAGAAAGACATCTGTCATCCTAGAGAAAGCGAGAGTGGGATTCACCGGCTCGGTGCGGGTCTCATCTGAATGACAGATAGGCACTAGAAGGAACAGCCTTCCTAAGGAAACCAACTTGTTGCTGGAGGTTTTTTCGGAGCACATCAGATCAACATACATCTGCTCTGTCTGGCAAATATTTATTCAGCTTTGGGGCTTTGGTTCATTAGGAGTCCACTCCGTAGGAGTCAAGATATTTCCACTCTTTTCATTAAACACCTTCCTCTTGCTAAGATCTTTTCTTTCCAGAGTTTTAACTTTTTCCCACAGTCCCAACCGCCTTTCTTCTAAGGAGACTCCAGCCCAGCAAGCACACAGTGTGTCCAGTGCCTTTGTGGAGCCACTCCTGCTATTCCTGGAGCACCCCAGTGCTGAACTGACCCGGCTGCAGATGCCCCAGGCTGCCTGACAAGCCTGCGCATGTCCCGTCAGAGCACCTAACTGACATAATATTCAGGCACCAAAACTGCTCAAAGCAAACCCAATGCTTCAATAGAACCAGATCTGCAAAGCCCACGTGCAGATAGAAAGCATTTACAAATACAAGGATTTATCTCGTAAAAAATGCAATAATATACTATAATTCTCTTCACACACCACCATCTCCAAGACCTAGGCATTTTAACTGAAAAAGAGTTTGGCTAAGATTTTTTTTTTCTTTTCTTTTCTTAAATGAATATCCACATTTAGGATAAACCTTCTCTCAAATTTAGGCACCTGGTTTGTATAGAAAGCATCCTCTTAACCTGCTGCACCCTAGAGCTGTGCTCACCCTGCCTTGGCAATTACAGCTGTGTTACACTGCAGCACAGCTTTCCACATACTTCCCCACATCTATCGGTGGGGAAGAAAAAGGCATATATCAAGTATGCTTTCCTTGGTGAAGTTTCAGAACTAGACTGAAACTGGGCTCCCCTTCCTTCTGTGGAAGCGCCTGGCATATGATCATTTTTAAGTTGCACAAGATGTAAAGTTCACGTGATTCCCCCACTAGCTTCCTCGGTACACCTCTCCTGTCCTGCGCCTGCCATCTCCTCCGAGGCTGGAACCAAACAAAGCTGCTTCATCTTCCAAACTGGCGATCCAAAGCACAGCTTGTCCAAAAAAGTCACATCATTCAGTGCTTCCCACCACCCAGCATATACGTGCACACAGAAAACTCAACGCGCTGTTCTCCTCCACACAGAGGGTTTGCTCTGCTCCGCAACTCGGACAAACCACTTTTGCCGATATCCTATACAGGGCAGAAAGCTCCTATTTCTTCTTGAATTCACATGTAAATGGCTTATAATAGCCATCTGCTGAAAACATACACCTTCATGTCTATGGAGGAGCAGCAGGGCTTTCTGATATTCAGAGAACAACCCGATGTCATGTTTGAGACATGCTGGTAAGTCTCTCAACTTTTAATCAAAGACTTCCCAGGTTTATGCTTTTCCTGCTTGTGATCTCATGCTGGGGCAATTTCCTCTGCTCAAGCTATGGTTAGGTACCATGGTGGTAAGAACATCTGCGTGGAGTCTCTCACTAGCATTTCTGGTACAGATGAACCTAAAAAGACAACTCAAAACAGTACTGGCTTCGAGGCTCACACCCTAAGGATTTTTTTTTCCCCAAGAGTAAGATAAAAATCAATAAATCATCTAATAATCCCTTCTTAAAATTATTCCTTACACAAGGATAATTACAGATTGCAAAATACAGATTGCAAGAAAGGCATCTTTCAGCATACACTGTTTTTTTCCATGAGATTTGGAATTACAATTTGCTACTCAAAGATGAGAGATTTATGCTCAGGGATCCCATAATTTCTTTTGTGTTCTTCAAATAATTTTCTTAGTTTCTGTAGGTACAATGCATGTAGCTCTTCAATCTCTTCAGTGGTGGGGTTCAAGTTCCGTTTTACAGGGATGGGGCTTCCCACTGTAAATCAAACACAACAGCAGCATTAGCTTCATTGACGTCTCTTTTTAAGTAGAACTGCTCTCCCTCCTGTAACAGCTCCACCACAGCTCCCAGCGAGATGGCAGAATCACAGCACAATTCTCTTGCCCTGCGGCCTGATCCTGCCTTTCACAAACCTGAGCCCCAGGTCTGGTTCTCCACTTCCTCTTGCTCAAGTTCAGATAAAATGAATTTAAAAACCCCATCATTTCAGTCTGGCAGCAAAAGAGCAAATGAGAAGGGGGTTAAGCTCTAACTTGAAGGAGCAGTTTACACGTCAACGTACAATCCCATGGGCTATGTGCTGTCTTGCCATTGGGGTAGTACTCCACAAGTTCAAAATAGCATTTAAAAAAAAAAATGTACCTTCTCACCGTCTTCTGTTCTGATCTGAATACTAAAGGTATCCAACGTGAGGGACATGCCTAAGCGGACAGTGGTGCCCTCAACCACATAGCCACATGAACAGGACTGAAGGAAATGCAGATATCTTCCAATTTATTCAAAATGGATATCGCTGCACCAGGGCCAGAAATGTTGTTGGCTGCTTCAGCCTAGGGAGTGGTAGCATGTACAACCCCCAAACCCTGTAAGGTGTCTCTGAACCATCCATTGCCCACAAATATCATTCCAACCAAAATATTCTCCAGGCACAGCGCAAAGCCTGCTACCTGCTCTGCCGGAGCGAGAGCAAGAGGGAGCATGGGAGGTAATTCCACGGAAGTCCAGAGGGCAGCCTCCTCCTCCGCAAAAAGCTATGGCTAAAAAAGTCTGCAATATGCTAAGAGAAGCTTCCCATGATCTCAGTCTTCCCTGTGTTGTTCAATCACTATAGATTTTGACAGCTGTTCTTGCACTGGCAGCACTGAGAGCTTAATAGACCGCACCGAGATTACAGAGGAAGTCTGTAGAAAAGCAGAGAGTTAAAAGCACCCCCCAGGAGCTTTTACAAAGGCACCTGAAAATCCCTTTCAACAGATATTGCCACTTCAAATTGGGTGGTGTTGACTAAAGGGAAAGGAAGCCTAGCCAGAACCACAAAGGGGCTGATTCTGCGTTTTCATGCTGCAGCCTCAGCTGCCAACAGCTCTCGGGCCCTACACGGTGCTGAAATTCAGACTTTACATGGCTAGGGGTGGGAACCCAGCCCTGGCATGAGCAATACCTTAGGGGGCATGAAATCAATATACATCCAATACAGGATTTCCAGAAGCATGGCTGGAAACACCAGACAACCCCCAAGCCCTTCTGCGGCAGTCTCTTCTCCTAAGAGTGGAGATTTCTCGTGGAATTGGAAACTACACATCTGTCTAATTTTCTGTGCAGCTTTAAGCAACCTGTGTAATTTGATATTTTAGATATTCTATTTCTGAACAGCAGTAACAATTTTCAGGTAAAACAACAGTACTTCACTCGTCAAGCCCAAAACACTCAGACTTCACAGACCGTGGTTTTGCTGAATTGCATCTCCTTGCTTTAGGAACGACAGCTTTTGAACCAGGAGGAAACTCACCGACACCCGGCCACGTTGCCAACCCGGCTAACCAGCTCGGGTGGAGCTCAACGTGACTGCAGCTTTCAGGTGAGCTAACACTTTCAAAGCCGTGTTGAGCCATACCAAGACACCCCCCCCAAGAATGCAGGGACATAGTGATAGTTTTCAAACATGAGAAAACAGAGACACCTCAAGAAACAAGGGATTTCTTGAGATCATACAACAAATTCTGTTGCCAGACTCTGGTCTTGCTGATTTGAAGCACTCCAGTGCTTTAGCCACGGACCACCTCTGTCCTTGCAGTAAATATTACAAAGATGAAGATTTGCCTCAAAGTGAAAGACATTTTAAGCTTCAGAACAGTCTCGATGTCATCCACCCACAGAAAAACCGCAGAAAATACGTTGCGCTCATTCCAATGCTTTGAAAACTTTTTGGCTTTAAGGCAAGTGACATTTTTAGCCCGCCTGTGCACAATGTGGGCTTTAAAAAGTAAATCTTTTCTAAAACATTTCACTATATGCACTGATAAGATACAAAGCTGCATGAAATTTAACATAAAAAGAGCTACATTTTTGTCTTAAACATTTTTATTTGATCCATACTAAAATCAAATCATCCCTCCATTAAAGGGAGGGCCTTCTTAAATGTCCCTTGTGGAATACCAGAAAAGCTCCATTTACTTTTCTGTAGAAAGTGGCTTCATTAGTTCACTCAGCTCAGAATCTGTCTAAAAATGATTTATCCAAAATATATAGACAGCCAGTTATTCCCTTCGCATGATGCCCAGCACAACTTTTTCTAAAGGGGTGGTTGTCAATAGCACTAGTTAAAACCATTAAAAAAACCAAAAGACATTCAGGCCTACGCTCCAGTGAGAGTAGATGACCAGGGATGAAAGCTTTTGGGGAAAAAACTCTCTTCCAAACTGCCTGTTGACATGGCATGCATGCTGTCAATTAAACATGAACGGATCTTTCCATGAGGGAAAAAAAAAAAAACAACAAAAGGGAAGGAAACACCCTAGGGAGCTGCAATGCCATCTAAGCAGCAGCTTGCTGAAGCTGCCGCAAGGCGGCCTCTCCCTTCCCTCCTCCGTCTCTCCCCTGCCCTGATGAGCACTGGGTCAGGACTGCACCAGCTCCTTCCAGTAGCCTTGCTCTGGAGCACCGCTGCGGTGGCCGTGCATCAGCCGAAACACCCAACTGCTGCTTCTTAGCTCTGCAGGGCTAAGAAATGAAGGTGCTGGGCATCTTACAAAATAACTGCAGCATTCAGAATCTGCAGCAAGAGCTGCAGAGCTATGGCAGCCCTCTGGTACGGACTGGACAAGCCCTTGGGTTTCCTTGAGGACTGCTGAGGATAGAAGCATGTGAATAACTGCGAATGAAGAATAAGATTTGGCCTGGGACAGAAAGGGGAAAGGGAGAAAAGAACGCCCTCTTTTAATTGGGGGAGGACAGGAATTTAAAAAAAAAAAAAAAAAAAATTATTTTAAACCTCACATACTTGGCTTTAGATGCACAGTAACCAATTGTTTCTGTTAGAACAGATTTATAAATGTACGCAGATATTAGTAGCACACTTATGCATTTTTAAACATTTGCAAAAGCATAAGAAAAGGCACAGGGAACTTACCAACAGTATGAATAGGTTGCCTGTAAGGTATTAAGCCGAAACTGTATTGAAATATTCCTCTAGCATGAAATAGCGGTAAAGCAAAGCCCATTATCTTTTGCAACTTCTCCTGTACATTTCTGAGCCATGAACCTTTGGGGTTTGCAACTTGCTTGAATAGTTCATTTTCACCAAAGGAAAACACTGGGACCAGATGAGCCCTGTAAAACAATGAACGCACAGAGAATCCCACGTCAGCCTGCACTTGCACTGCGGTTCACATCAGCAGCGTGGAAATGGTTTCACAATAACCAGCACAGAAAGCTTCAGCACCTCTAGACTTCATCAGCAACAAGGATCCAACTCTTCTGACACACAGCTGCTTTGGGTTTTTGGGGTTTAAAAAAAAAAGAAAAGTGATTGGCATATAACTAGCAACTAGCTTTTGGGCAGTATTTAGCTGGTTGCTACCCGTCACAAACTTTTATGACTGTTCATAATCCTAACAATGAATAATTGTATATATCATAATTATGATTATCATCTTATCTACCACTATTTCAGCAAGTCCACCCTTGTTCCACTGCATTTTCTCCCTTGGCAAGCAAAGAAGCCTCATTGCTAACCTTATAATGCTCCCAGCTGGGTGGCTTCAAAACCAGATTTTGGCTTTCCTCCACCTTTTGACCCGAGTAATGCACACACTTGATTTCAGCACAAAAAACGTGATAGAAAACAGACATCCTTACAGACACGAGTGCAATGCCAAACTCCTCTGCTGTCCAATTCCCAGTGAAATCCAGCTTCCTCCAGACTTCTTCGAAAACACTAGCCCTAATACATTATTACCAGAGGTCAAATCCTACCCACATAAATTATACTAACTCACTTTGGCTCCTGCACAGCCTAATGAATTCTCATTCAGTTCATTAATTGGCTTCAGGAAAGGCACTAACTAGCTCCTGGACAAACTACTTCGGCTGATGGAATCAGTGCAGTTGTCTCCAACAGGCAAAAACACCACTATATTTAAAACCTCGTCTTGGTTTCGGCAGGGATAGAGTTAATTTCCTTCCTAGTAGCTGGTACAGTGCTGTGTTTTGGATTTAGGAGGAGAACAATGTTGATAACACACGGATGTTTTAGTTGTTGCTAAGCAGTGCTTACACTAGTCAAGGACTTTCCAGCTTCCCATGCCCTACCGACTGAGCAGGCTGCAGGTGCACAAGAAGCTGGGAGGGGGCACAGCCAAACTGGCCAGAGGGACATTCCATACCATGGGACGTCACGCTCAGTACATAAACTGGGGAAAGCTGGCCGGGGGGGCCGCTGCTCGGGGACTGGCTGGGCATCGGTCGGTGCAACTGCACACAGCAATTGCATTGTGCATCACTTGCTTTGTGTATTATCATTATTATTATTTTATTTCAATTATTAAACTGTTTTTATCTCAACCCACAAGTTTTTCTCACTTCTACTCTTCTAATTCTCTCCCCCATCCCACCGGGGGCGAGGGGGAGGAGTGAGCAAGCGGCTGGGTGCTCAGTTGCCGACTGAGGTTAAACCACAACAAACCTTCACTGCAGTATGCTTTTTGATTAATGTTTAGTTTCATTAAATAGTATTCTACACAGTTCAAAGAAAAAAGAGCAGGGTAATCCTAAGCAGTCTCTGAAGGATACAGAGCTGTTTTATTTGCTTTACTTAAGTCTTAGCTTCTGTATCTTAGCTCCGTTCAGCCCACGCTATCTTTGAGAAAAACCTTACTGTAAAATAGCAGCATTGCACTAATATTGTCAGGATGAATTACACTGCAGTGCTCTGAACGCCTGAGGAGGATGCACCGAGGACAGAGCTGGCTGGAAAGTACTGTGGACAATCAAAACCCACCTGTATGGCAAAAACAACTGCTTCTACAGCTTCTCAAGCCTGAGGACCCCCAAAGACTATCATTCCCACTCACTATTCTGACTGGTGTTTGCTCAAAGGTTCTTTCTCAAATAGAGCATGTATCACCCAGCCACCTGCAGAGGAAATATCGGAAAGCCTGGTACATACTGTGGCTGTGCAAATACTCCACTTTTTACTACAACCTAAGACAAACAGGAACATCTTGTGGCGCAATAGCACCCTGAGACTGTGGGATTTGTTTTAACCTGGTAAAGGCTTTTGCAAGATGCTCTGTAGGAGGCTGAGACAAAGAAATAAGTAACTTAGGATTGTGAAACTAAAGATAAGTTAGCTGATTCATCATTTGTTTCATGTCTTTAGGATTTCTTCACCTCATATCAGGTATCTGTACTACCTCGGACCAAAATGCCTTTTCCAGAAGTGCAGAGGACTTTTGCTGACATATTCAGACCACATTTGACAAGTTCCTAGCTGAGGAACCACAGCTTCTCTGTGCTGGCAGTACAGGAGCCAGGGCCAGAGAGCACAGGTCTCTGCACCACCCCTTCCTCTCTTGGTATTTGATGCTGCAGATCAAAAGCACCAGAAACATATGCAGGCACCGATGGCAGGCGGTTCTTCTCATCTGCCTCCCACAAGCCTCCCTCACCCTTTCATTTCCACGTGAGCTGGAAGCTTGTTCCATATTTTGTTAATTGTTAGAAACAAAATGTTAAAACCAGAAGCAATTACTGGATGCAGAGTCTTTGCACAAGAGCTCAGGACTGCCGACAGTGCTGCAAGAGCTGTAATGGCTACAGTCATGCTCTCCTACTGTCCCACAGCCCTACTGTATAGAAATGAAGTCAGGATTCCTACGCTTCACGTAGAAGCGGTTTTTCTTGCCGGTGCTCAGATCCAGAATCACCTGTAGCCTGGTGGTTAAAGTGACCATGTGTGAGGTGTAGGTTTCAAGTCACTGGGGCAGAGACAGGCGTTTATCACCCTGGTGGAGGGCTCTAGACAACTAAGCCTCTTTCTTAAAGAGGAGAACCATCATTTGAAACAAGGGACTTCATAAGGAAAGAAGTAGCCATTCCCGTGTTTTGTGAGTGTCCTGATCTTGTTGTTGTGTGTTGGGGATGCTTTTGAAATCAAGGCCATGAGAGGCACAGGTGTATCTAGTTTCTCAATCCAAATCAGTTTAGATGAGAGATAAACACCAACCTTTGTGATCTGACAGATCAGACATTTATGGATGTGCTCAAAGAAAAAAAAAAACCAACCTCATAAAACATTCTTCTAAATTTATGGTTTAAAAAAATAAAAGCTACTGATAGTGTTTAGGATCCCACTGGATTAATCAGCAGTTGAGCTGAAATTGAGTAAAGAGCCATTTAGGCACTAAAGTCCTAATTTAAATACAAAAGTATTGTTTCTGGGTACAAATTAGACTGAAATGTTACTTTCTATTAAAGAACAGGTCCTTTATGAGACTTCTAGTGAAACCCTCTTGGAACATTTTGACATGAAATAAGTTTCTAGAAAAAATGGATCTTAGCATCCTGTGTGAAAACAGAGCTCTTCTCAGAGACCACCTTTTTTCCAGTTAATAGCTTAAAAAACTGTTACTGATTTCTCAAGACTATTATTTTTTTCTCACCATTTCGCATGTCAATATATAATCCTGGGAGCTGTTCAGAAAGCTTAGCAGGAACAAGTCATTGGTTCCAATATTTCTGGTATATGAGACATCTAGATCAGTCCAGCACAAACACAATAGCTTACACTGTGTAAATCACTCAAGCGATATTAACACCATCTGTGTTTAGTTACACACTGATGGCTGTTTGATAGTAAAAGGTAAGCGACTTTTTCTTGAGATTTTCACCAAAAATTCCCAGAAACTCACTTTTGCAAATAACAATCTTCAAAAGAAAGTCTTTAGAATAAAGGTGAAAACAAATCTTCCTAGACCACAATTTTCAGTGATTTAATAAAACAGGGCCTAGCATTCTATTTTTTTTGATTGCTTAAAATGATAAGAAAATTCTATCTTAACATAACTTCAATTTACAGAACAGGAAAAAGAATGTCTGCTCCACTCCGCAATAACAGCCAAGGTTTACTAATATTGTTTCATAATTCTTACTCTTTGCTAGTGCAAAAAACAACTGAAACAAAACACCAAGATATGCTAATAACACCTACAGCTTACAAATTATGAAAGTCAAAGGGAGTTTTCAACACTCCCAGATTGGATCTAGGTGGACAGACTGGCTCTTATGCCAGACATCTGCACGTTCTTAGACAAGTAACTCTTTCAAATTCTAATTATATGAGTTTACTATATGTAATATGAACTATATTTAAGAATCAGTCTGTATTCAAAGCATGCTTACTACAGCAGCCCAGACGGGAAACCTACCCATGTTTCAAGGCCATTTTAATAAAGCCCTTCCTCTTGAGGATGTTTAAAGTTAAACTTCCAGGATGTGCATTCAGAGATTCCTCCGCTCCTCCAATCACGATGACGGACGCGTGGCCACCTCCTTCCTTATTCAGGACGTACGAGACGCTCTCCTTGGATGCAGAAACCATTCCTTCAGGAGCAAACATTTTAAGAGTGACTCACTAGATCTTCACGTACAAGTACAGTGGAATTTAAGAAATATTTTAAAATACCTAAACAATGTTTCAAAATTATTACAGCATAGGACAGCGTTCAAAGATCTGGGTTCAACCCCCTCACTCTGCAACAGATTTGGTCTTAGGTAAGTCCTTTGATTTAACACTGATGAGCTAAATGAAGGAATTGTGAGATCTTCAGGGAAGAGCATGCTCTTCTGCCAACTTAACTCCCCTTCAGAGAGATTCTGTGCCCGAGAACAGAAGAGTTGAATGGCAGCAGATACTGTCGAGAGGCAGTAGCTAAAGCCATAGAGCAGGTGTACATAAACACAGGCACAGAGGGTTTAACAGAATGAATAGAGGACTTGTTAACTCAAACACGGATCTATGGTGCCAAGCTGATCCCCTTCGCTCTTTCCAAAGCTATAAAGCAGCAGCTCCATCTAAAGCAATGGCACAACAGCGTCAGAAGAAGCGGAAAAGAATGTACCATCCCCGATGACTGCATCGGCTCATTCTCTAGTAACCAGGACCCAGCATTCATCGATCTATTTAGGCTACAACAGCAGAATACACGAAGCTTTCCTGATCCTAATACTTCCAATCAAAGGCACGCTGCTGTACAAGCCTTTAACATCGACTTAGACCTTGCTCTGAACTTGGTGCTCTGGAAAACTCCCTTTCTAACAGATACGCATCTGACCCCTCCAGAGCTCCTTTGTGCCCTAAGTTTTACTTCAGAGGCTCATAGTGGTACTATTTACCCAGACGCCACATTTAATTACATTGTGTTGAATTAATATAGTCTAAATGACAATCTAGAGATCAAGCCTAGTTTGTGGTGGTTTGTTTGGGCAGGTTTGGGGGGTTTTTTTGGTTTGGGTTTTTTGGGAGGAGGGGTTGTTTGTTTGTTTTGGTGGGGGTTTGGGGTTTTTTGGGGGTGGTTTTTTTCGGTTTTTTGGTGTTGTGTTTTGTTTTTTTTTAACAGGGATAGTATCAAAGCATGCTCTTTTGGACACCAAGCAAATACTTCATCTCCTGTTTTCTATAGGTACGTTGGGGATAAAAGGAAGACAAGGGAAAATGTGGGCCCTCTCTGGAACAAAACGGGAGACCTGGTTACCCGGGACACGGAGAAGGCGGAGGTACTCAATGACTTTTTTGCCTCGGTCTTCACTGGCAAATGCTCGAGCCCAAGCCACAGAAGGCAAAGGTGAGGACTGGGAGAATGAAGAGCCACCATCTTCTCTCTGTGAGAGAAGATCAGGTTCGAGACCATCCAGGGCACCTGAAGGTGCACAAGTCCGTGGGACCCGATGAGATACATCCACGAGTCCTGAAGGAACTGGCAGATGAAGTTGCTAAGCCACTATCCATCGTATTTGAGAAGTCGTGGCAGTCCGGGGAAGTTCCCACTGACTGGAAAAGGGGAAACATAACCCCC